TCCTGTGAATTGCAATCACAACCATCAGACTTTTCCACCAGAGAAAAGCCAGCTGGGATCTAACACCCCCTCAGCTGGTTGAGGCTGAGGCCAAGGAGCCATTAGATAGTAATTATTTTTGGTCATGACAGATCTGAGCTGGACTTGATGCAGAACTTAAGGCTGCAGATATAGTTACAAGACTCCATTATTTTCCCAGGTGATGGGATTCCTCTCTAAATGAGCACTGCTCAAGGAAAGCTCTTCTCTGGGGACAGTAAAAGGCGACTACACCTCTGAGCCTAGAGGAAAGGTCTGGATCATTTCAGCCCCTTAAGAGAGAGAAATAATTGGCAGGATTTGGCATACTGGCACTAGTCATGGCAGTGGTACAGGGTTTGAGGTGGCTGCCTACAGGATGGTAAGGTTCTTAGGAAGCCAGGGAGCAATTTGTATGGTGGCACCACGGGAAGCAATGGTAAAGAAAAAGGAATGAGACCATGGAGCGCAGTGCTGGGAATAATTACTCACTCACTCTCTCAGCAGTATGATGTCAGCCAGGACACTGAACATCTGGTAGAGGCCCGAGGCCTCGTTCACCCGCTTGATGATGGAATTGGTCAGCTGTGTAATAGGGTAGACTGTGGTTGGCCAGGGGACACCATGGTGACGGTTTTCCAATAGGCGGTGGACAGCACGAGCTAAGACATGGATAGAAACAAAAGACAGCTTATTTAAAAAATCCAAGCTTACCCCTACCCGGCTGCTCTGCTGCAGCTTGCACAGATACTGGCAGGACACAATAAATAAGCTTTGCAGCTCATCTGTGCTCAGGATCTCCCACCCCAATTGCTGGGAACTGCAGTGGAGATGCCCTCTGAAAGCTGATGTGATGTTAAGTGGTTGGTGAGGGGGCGGGGGGGATCCTCAGGGATATTTCATTACTTCTGAGCAGTCCTTTAATGATAAGGTTGGGCACACACACATAAAGATGGAAATACCCTCTAATGCCCAAAGCCGCTGGGTTTTAACTCCACAGCACAGACCTCTCATCCACAGCTTGTCAGGAGGCAAGCATCTGGCAGGCAGAAATCTACTGCGTTACATAAATAAGAGGCAAGGAGCACGAGAGACATAAGACAAAACAAAAGACAGGCAACGAAAAACTGATTCAGATATGACCCCACGTCACTTCTCCTCCACTTCAGACGATGCAACTGCAGCTTGGCTGTTTTGTTGTTCTTACTGCCAACACAAGACTAAGGGTGATCTCTTTCCAGCTGTAAGTGGTGAGTTGTTCCTTTGAAGAGGGGAACAATATCCTCCTCAGCCTCTTCTATACACCCCAGTACTCACTTGTATACCGGAATCCATGGATAAAGCCCCCAGCAGATTTCCTGAAGTCAACAGAGTGGCTAGCAGTGCCGAGAACAAAAAGCCCTCGAGTGCCTCTGGACTCGTAACTAGGTTTGATCTGAGGATACTTGTTTTTAATCCCCTTTCCTGGCATCAATTTAAGGGATCTGATGAGCAAAAGAGAAGAGCAGGCTGTCAGGAAGGGCAGGGGTGGAAAAATGAAAAGTGTTTCTGATAAGGCACACATTATTTTGCAGCCACAGCAGGACAATGCTTCATGCCCCCAATGCCTTCAGTAGTAAATACTTTCCCAAGAGCATGAAGCCATCAAGGATGTTCCAGAAGACAAGGGTGCTCATCTCAAGGTAGCTTTGGACAAGATCAAGTTCCAGCCTAAGCCACTGGCAGTGGATTTTGGAAGACAGTGAAGTTAGCAGTATCATTTTCAACTGCAGGATGTACTAAGAGACAAATCAAGGTGGAGTGAAGGCTGCATCCTCAGGGAAAAACAGCCAGCAAAACTTTTCTGTAGGGATCTGTATTGGTCTCATCTTCATTCAAAAATAAACACCCCAAAAGAGAAAGTGTTGCTAGCCTTCCTTACATGACCTGGCAAGTCAGGATGTTAAGTTCTAAAGGCACAAGCTTCTTCTGTGTCACCTAGGTCCTAACACAGCCCTAGGTCAGCCTATTGGTCAGAAGGCTGTGGCACGCATGTTCCCTTTGGGACATGGACACAGCTGCATGGTAAACAAAGGACTGTGCAGCAGCAGGTAGCTCAGAGCACGTGGAGGTCTGGGCCATGCTGTCAGGAGTGGACATTCCCTTTCCCCTGGTCTCTAGTCAGGCCCTTCTTAGTCTGTTGCTCTAAATACCTGCTTCCCTGGAGATCCTTGTTCTCCCTCACCTGTTGTAGATGGAGAAGTCAAACTTCCAGCCCAGGCAGCGGATGACACGGTCGTAAGGTGCACGAGTGGCAAAATTATCCAGCTCATCCTGTGGGAGGGTGATGGAGTCGACGCCTGCGCTGGTGTTTCTGTCCTCCAGGTAGAACCTGAGCGTGATGTGCAGCTTCCCTTTCTTGTCCTTGACAATAGCCAGATCCTCCAGGTCGCCCTCTAGCAGCCCATCCAGAGATTTCAGCTGGTAGGTGTCCAGCAGGCCGTTGTTAATTGCTCTGTGAAGAAAAGGGGAATTTAAGAAGGGCTAGAAGAAAGGAGGAGAGTGGGATCCATGGTTCAGTCTCAGCAGCTGGAAGTGGGACATGTTTTCCAGGCATCCCACACTCCCCTTCAGTGCAAAGGTAACCCCCAGAGCTCACAGGAACAGTAACACAGTGTCACTCCCCTCACAGGATGTAGTCAACCTCTCAGCTCTCCTCTGTGATTGCAAATGAGGGAAAAACTTGGGAATCAGCACTTCTAAATGATAAAGGGGATGTTTTCCTATTTCACACAAACCCAAAAGAGCTTTCATCAAGCTTTTGCGCTCAGCATCTGCAACCTGGACTGCTTTAAAACAAGGAACTAAAGATATAAGGCCCCATGTTTCCTCTGTGACCCCCAAGACCACAGCACCTCCTGTGCCAGTCCGTCTTGTCATCTAGGCAAGAAGTGGTTCCCTGTGGTTATAACTCTAATAGCATTAGGAAGAGGAAGAGTAGTAGTTTCCTACCTCAGATCCCCGACGTAGTGAGTGGCCCACGAGAGGCGCACACGGGACCTGCTCACCATGTGGATGAAATTTGTGACACCCAGAATGTTCTCTGCCGTCTCAAAAGCAGAGTTCCCTCGGCCCAAGATCAACACAGTTTGTCCGGCAAAATCCTCCGGGTTGATGGACACAGTCTCATAGCCCTCAACATACTCTGAGCCAGGAAAGTTGACCACGTTGGGGACCCACATCCCAGTGGCGACCAACAAAGAGCTGCAAAAACAGGGATAGCACTAAGGAATGCAGGAGTTACTGGAATAGGTCTGTGCTCCATCTCATCACTCCTTCCTCCTCCTGCTGTGGAAGATGACTGTGATGTGGCACCTGCAGCCACACTGGATCAGCTCACAGTTTCAGAAGAAACCTCTCCTCAGCTTTGCCTCATGACCTGCTCCTCTATTCCTTATCCTCAGGCCAACACGGAGTGCTAGGAATGCTGTTATATACAGCAAAAGTCAGCGTGGGTGCCAAACACATCCGTCTCCCTCCGTTATTCAAGAGTGTGCAAGTACTACTCATATGTACTCACTAATGAGACATAACAGTACAGTTTCACAGCCTGATTACACGTTGCATAAAACATTACTTCGATTTAAAATTTTTGTTGCCTTTTAGTACAGCAGAACATAAATTAATTTTTAAGAGGGACTGAAAATAAATTGTTTTGGTACTTTAAAATGTAACGCCTAGCCATAAAAACCTGTTAGCAACATCATTAATTGTTAACGCTAAGTCCCTCTATTATCCCTCTCTAAGAACTTTCACTTAATCTCAAGGACATTTTTGTGACTTAGACAGAAACACCAGGCAGTCAAGGCTAGTGGCACTGTCTGCTGTCCCAGCCATGCTCATGCAGCTCCCAAGAGCAACTCGCTCACGATGTGTGGGTGTCCAGGATTGCCTTCTGTCCCCTCCGAGCCTGCCAGCCAGTGCACCTCCAAGTGACAGCCAGCACGAGCGGCTGTCATAGAGCTGAGCTTCTCAGGAGAGGTGAGAAATATACTCCATATGTTCACATGAGCAACTTCGAGGTTTTTAGGAATGTAGCTCAGTGGCAGTACAGGATACACACTCATAAGCATGACAAAGGGAAGGGGAATTCAGGGACCTGCAGTCTTGGGGGTTATTTCTCCATCTACCCCAATGGCCACAGTTTTCTCCAGTTCCCCCTGGCACCTCTGTGCTAGCCCAGGGCTTCACTTGGCTGGGACACACATCTAGGTTACTGGCAGTGAGGTGGCACCACACTGACTCACTCGAGTTTGGAATGAAGGCAGCAGTGGCTGCAAGTACAACCAAATGATTTCTTTCACAGGCAGCAATTACTGAGCATTAAAACAAAAGTGATTTCAAGCTTGCCAATCAAGGAGGGAACCAGTGGTGATGGCAATCACAGCCAGTCTCTGACTTCCCTGCCAGCCCTTCAGCTGCTCAAGGCACATCATTGCTCGTGAAAGGCAACGCCTTCCCAGGAGCAGTTATTCCACCCACCCAGCTGATCCCAGCAGAACGTTTTTCTCTTGTAACACTGGTCAAAGCTCCAAGAGCCTGTAACATCCCCATCCTTGGAGATACTTGGGCAAGGCTCTGAGCAACCTGATGTCGACGGCCCAGCTCTGGGCAGGGCGCTGGGACTAAATGACCTTTCTCAGCCTCTTCCAACCTAACTTATCCTGTGATTTCGCGGCTTCAAAGACACCCGTGCAGAGCGTGGCGGGTTTGCCCGTTACCTGCACTTGTAGCTCTGCCTGTCCTGGTCAGTCAGGAGGAAATAGTGTCCGTTCCAGGCCTGCGGGCTCCGCTCCAGCGCCACGTGTGTGATGGCCGTGTTGTAGCGCACCCGCAGCCGCAGCAGGGAGGCGAAGTCCTCCAGGTACCGCACCATGGCGTCGGCGTGCGGGAAGAAGTCGCGGGGGGAGCGCCGGGAGAGCCGCCGCCGGTCGGGGC